ATAACAATATCCAGAATATGCTGAGCAGTTAATCCCAGCACTCGGTAGGCAGAGGTAGGCGGATCTCTGTAAGTTCAAGGCTAGCCTGCTCTACAAGAGCTAGTTCCAGGACAGGCTCCAAAGTCACAGAGAAACCCTGCCTCAAAAAGCAAAATAAAACAAAACAGTATCCAAAGTATTTCATGGTGATCAGGTTCCCCAAATCTCTTTCACCATGCCCCTTCTTCATTCTGAATTCTGGGTTTAGTCATCCTTTTCCACCTGTTTATAGCAACTTCATGTAAACCCAGTTTCCTGTTATTAATGGCCTTAGCTTCTGCAAAGAGGCTGACCAAAGCTCCCAAGGGACATGCTGCATCTGCCCCTGTCTCGCCAAGGACCAAAGTAGGAAATAATGCCGCGGCACCATGAAGTCACACGAATCCCTGGAAAGTGTGCAGCCCTGAGTTCATCTAGGATTTGGAGAGTCCAGCATGATTAAAGAGACCACGCGAGAGTCCCTGAGAGCTGGTTTAGGCCCTCCCCTTGAAGATGGGCAGGCTGGGTCCTGTTCTTGAGGAGATTTAGTTCAGGACATCCTGTGTGGGTTTCCCAGCTGGCAGGTTTTGCTGGAACTTTTACCCAGCATGCTCTCTGGAAGCCCACATGGGGAGGCTTCCCACCAGGGTGCTAAGCATAGGTGTGAGACTAGCATGCTTCCTCCAGATCAGCTTGGCCTCAGCTGGAGGATGCTAAGTAAAGCAAAATGAAGCAGATGAACTGCCCACCCAAGGTCTGGCTGAATTCCCGATTCACAAAACCATAGGAGGTGATAAGAGAGTTGCTTTAAATCACTGGGGCTGTGAAGCTCCTCATGCAGAAATAAATAACTAAACGCTAAAGAGAGAGGTAGCTCTGCTTCTTCCAAATCTCACTCTCATTCACGTGTGGTGTTTTTTTCTCTCGTGGAGAAAGTTCAGAATCAGTAGTAGTAACCAGTCAATGGAATACATCACCAGCACAGTGCTTTCTGAGATGACGAAAGTTACACTTGTCCCTTGATATCTGTAAAGTATTGGTCACAGGATCCTCCCCGTTCTGCTTCTCTACCCGTAAGACGGTGTTTGTCTGCTGCATACTCACCTCCCATACAGTCTATATCATCCCCAGATGACTCATCCTTAATACACTGTGCTTAGCTGGTGTTTAGAGGATAGCGACTTGAAAATTAGTTTGCACATACTTAGGCCTTTTCTGCATTTTTCTCCTTAGTGTTTAGTATTTTGATCTACAGTCAGTTGAATTTGGAGATTTAAATTCAGTGACTGCTTGCACTCTAAAACAACAGAGTGCAAGAGGTTTATTGGGGAGGAGGGTAAAAGAGAGAAAGGCCATGTCGAAGTGGGTACATGTGAGAAGAAGACAGATAGACAGGTATTTTGTTAGAACATATTGCTTCATTGATGGGATAAATTAATTAGAGCAATACTGTTGAGGTCTGGGAATACTCCAACAATGTTACATTGGGTAGACATCTACTTTAAAGCACGAATTTGGCCATTTTCAGATTAGCTTACAGAGTCACAGTGGCTCTGGTATAGCCCAAGCAGAATACTTTGTGCGAACAGATATTTTACCATTTCTGAGAACCTCTTCTCAGAATTTGGTCAGATAGAGTCCAGTATTTTTTCCAGATATTTAATAATGCCCACCATGTGTATTAGAACATGCTACTATGTTCTGAGTTACTGAGGTCTGGTTTTTAAAATGTCTGTTACAACTTAAAGACTATGTTATTGTCTTTAAGACCAGCCACGATAAGCTAAATATGGACAGATCACCCAAAGGAACTTCCTTACTTCCAACCATTATCAGCTGCCAGAGTAGGACTCAGCCACCAATAAATTTAATAGAGGTCTGAGTCTCAGTAGTTTACCCTGAAGCAATACCTGGCTGCAGGAAGAACCACAAACTGAGATTACCTGAGCACCACCCAGGAACAGACCATCCAAAGGAAATGCCTAACGTTCCAACTGCTGTAGATAGAATCACCTGCCAGCACACTCACCGGGACACTTCTAGACAAATGTCAGTCAATCAGGGGCCCTAAAACCTCACCCCACCTTTACTACTATAAAAACCCAGCTCTGACTGAGTTGGGGGCTCTCCGTTTATGCCAATCCATTGGACATGCAGAAAGACTGACTTTGCCAACTTGCATAAAATAAAGGCTTTTTGCTTTTACATATGGGACTCGGTCTCCTTGTTGACTTTTGGGAGACTTCATGGATTTGGGTTTAACAGTTACATGTTACAGTCATGCCCACCAGCTTTGAGCTATGGACTCAAGGGAAACCTGTCCTATTTAGTGTAGTGATGCCACTTCTTCCTTATGGCAGTTATTAACCACCTGGCATCATGCACTAGGTGCTTACCAGCCCCAACATGCTTTCTGGGAGGGCAGCACAGTATTCTAATTAGGTATACCAGCTTGACATTCAGAGGTACTGATGCTAAGTTCTGATTCAGATATTTTAAAAATACTGCTTCATTGACTGGGGTAATCATGAACCTGTGATGTCAGATTCCCCTCTGTATGCTGTGAATATGTTTTATTACCACCGGTTAATAAAGAAGCTGCTTCAGCCTATGGCAGGGCAGAATATAGCCAGGCTAGAAGAGGTATACAGAGAGAGTAGGTGGAGTCTGAGAGATGCCATGCTGAGGGAGGCAGACACCAGATCCTTACCAGTAAGCCACAGTCTCGTGCTGATACATAGATTAATAGCAATGGGCTAATTTAAAATGTAAGAGTTAGTTAATAAGAAGCCTGAGCTAATAGGTTAAGCAGTGTTGTAACTAATATAGTGTCTATGTGTTTGTTGTCTGAGCAGTTGGGAAACGAGCGAGCAGTCTCCCTTTACAGCCCTGTTCAGGTTTTTTATCTCAACAGCTGTGAACATTAAATAAGATGTAAATTGCACAGACACATGAAGTATTTAGCACAATGCCCATCATGTAGAAAATATAGGAAAGTTATAGTTTCTGTGCATCACATTATTTTTTTTATCACCAGTTTTTTTATTGTCTGAACTTGCTAGTTATAACCATTTTATTTAGTCAAGAAATGAACAGATTTGTTTGGTTTGAAAATAAGCATGTTTCTCTATTTTATGGGCTTTACTTCACCAATGGGAAACCTCAGTTTTTGGTAGGAAGTGTGTGGGTCCCTGAGGCACAGCAGCTCAGGTCTAAGGAGATAAGGGTAGAGGTGCACCCCAGAACACGTGTGCTCCCTCTTTGTAACTCTCCCTCTGGTGGAGAAAAGGCGACCCTGTTACATTCTATTCTTGTTGGAGAAACTGAGGCACTAATGTAATAGCTCACCCTATGACGCTGAGCTATTTTGAAATCTCCTTTCTAATGGGTTGGAGGCAAATTTGTGAGGAGTCATTTGTTTCTGTCATTCCTGGACTTCCCTCCCCCTGTGGCTCCATCCTCTTCTCTCTTACCCAGTGAATTTCCCCTATTTTGAACGACAGATTAATTGGAAATAATTTAAAAAGCTGTCTGTTTCGGATACACTTGTGCTTTAGGAACCTTGGGTTATGTGTTTTGGAGTGACTGTTTCAGCCACCATCTTAGGTACAAAATTCCCAGTAGAGCAAAGAATGGTGATCCGGGGAGCCATCCTAGAACCCTGTTCACACAATTGCTTTCAGGGAGAAATCACCGTGCCATGGAGTCAGGAAGATCTTTTCTAGCACTTTCCAAAGTCTGGTCATGGGACGTTAGTTGTACTTTACTGTGCTTACATACAAACGAACAAACAAGTGTCCTTATTGAGAAGATTCTCCAAAATTTAGTTCCAATGTCTCTCCAATTCTTACCTTCCCATGTTAAATAAAAGTGGTTGAACTTTTGGAAAGGGTGGTATCTGCTGGTATTCTTTCCCCCTGGTAGCATCTCCCCCTGGTAGCATCTCCACTGGTAGCATCCCACCCCAGGTAGCATCCCGCCCCAGGTAGCATCTCCCCCTGGTAAGCATCTCCCCTTGGTGAGCATATCCCCCCTGGTAGCATCTCCTCCTGGTGAGCATCTCCTTTTGGTGAGTATCCCCCCTGGTAACATCTCCCCCTGGTGAGCATCTCCCCTTGGTGAGCATTTCCCCCTGGTAGCATCCCACCCCAGGTAGCATCTCGCCCCAGGTAGCATCTCCCCCTGGTGAGCATCTCCCCTTGGTGAGCATCTCCCCACTGGTAGCATCTACCCCTGGTGAGCATCTCCCCTTGGTGAGCATATCCCCCCTGGTAGCATCTCCTCCTGGTGAGCATCTCCCCTTGGTGAGTATCCCCCCTGGTAACATCTCCCCCTGGTGAGCATCTCCCCTTGGTGAGCATTTCCCCCTGGTAGCATCCCACCCCAGGTAGCATCTCGCCCCAGGTAACATCTCCCCCTAGTGAGGATCTCCCCCTGGTGAACATCTCTCCCTGGTGAGGATCTCCCCCTGATGAGCATCTCCCCTTGGTGAGCATCCACCCCTGATGAGCATCTCCCCCTGATGAGCATCCCTCCTTGCACTTTTCATGAAGCATTTTCAATATGTCTGTGACTCTGAATATTCTGTATAGAACACTGCTCTCTAGTCAATGAGTAAAGTGAGGCCAGAGCAACTCACTGATTCTCCCATGGCAACCCAGGGGACTATTGCAAAAAGACTAGAAGGCTGGTCCTATAGTTACACAATCTGATCAATTACAGTTAATTGAATAGGTTGCATGTCTTTCTTCCATAACAGACACTATCTAGCAACCAAACAGAATGCTGAGTCTTCTGCTTCTTACTGTATCCTTAGCACATAGTTCAGTCTGATACACATCCTAACTTAATATTCATGTTAGAACTTATTAACACTGATCTGAGATTCACTATAGGGACAGGCACGCTTTGTTGGGCCCTGCTGTCCTGGCTCCCCATGTGAGGCTGTTTGCGAATGAATTAGTGTGTGGTTCCATACTTACACTGAGAATACGTGGTGGCAGTTCCGCTAACACTGAACCTGTTGAGGTGAAGCCTGTGCGTGACCACATTCTTCTGGGGTTGGAACAGGACAATGTGTACCTTGGGGGCAAACAAACAGCCCAAGACCACGAAACCGCTCAGGCTAACGGAGATGCACATAGTTGTCGTCTGCACCTGTAAGAAAGGTTGGCTCAATGAATGTCCAACTATAAATCCCATCATGAAGTCAACTAAAGAGAACACTGAGACAAGGCCAAGTTAGAAAACGAGAATCGTTCATTAACTCTGTTCTTCTCATAGCTAAGTTTATGTGCTAATTATATAGGATCTTCTGTGTTTGGAATATTCATGAAAACATTGTTTAGGATTTCAAAGCAAGCATCATTTGTGTGGGTTGATTCTGACTGCTTGCCAAGACTTCACATGGATTTCCTGATTTTCTTTACATTTGTATGATGATATTTATGCGGAGCTGGTGAAGTCAGAATCGTAAATAGCAAAACACAGATATTCAGTGATGAGAGTACTAGATCGCAGGCGGTTATCACCAATGAACATGGCTCATTCAAAGTTCACTTGTCCAGTTCCTTCAATAAGTCACATGATTAAAAGTTGGTGTTTAATATACAGCTCTCTGTTTTCTTTTACACCACCAGTTCCTATGGCCCTGACTTTATCTTCAGACTTACAGCAGCATTTGACATCAGTAATCATTTCCTAATTTTGACTTCCAAGACATATCCCTCCCTAGAAGGGGTGTTTGCTCCTGGTTTTAATGACCTCTTCTATCTGAACTTTAAGATCTGGAGTGTCTCAGACCTCAGGTTTTTGATATCTCCCCTTCATCGTTAAGTTTACATGACTTAGATACGTGCTATATTGTTTATATCCAGATATTTACTAGTGTAGACCTATCCTGAATGCTTTTGTATTTACATACTCAACTGCCACAATCACACATTATGCTGAATATTTAGTAGAAAAGAAGGAAGTTCATATCACCAAGCTTGACCTCCTTTCCTAATTGTTTCAGTCTGAGTAACAGCGGATGCTTAAAAACCTTGGGAGTTATCTTTGCTTTTTCCACTGTCCTTAAACTCACTCTTCCAATCCATGAACATGTTCTGTCCAAGATAATCCTGTGTAGATCTCATGTTTCTACTTAGCTTGTAAGCAAAGGCTCTAACTACCTCTGTTCTGAGCTTTAGACGAAGGAGTCTACTCCTAGTGCAGCGACCATTGTTCCTCTGTGTGAGAAGTGAGACTCGGAAACTCTGTTGAATGTTCAGTCTGGCTATGGCTGTTATTGCTGTTGGCGTCAATCACAGTCTTTTCTGGAAGTTTTGCAATGACACTGCTGTGGTAACTGGGTATGTAATATGTACAATAAAATCTCAGACACTGTGGTCTTTGACAGTTTGGGCAGCAAGGACGCAGTTCTAACTCATATAGGCTTTTTAAGGAAGGAAGTCTAAGGGTCTCAAGGGCCAAAGAAACTCTATAAAAATCAATAACACATATGTTGGCACAATTGTGTGGTCAGTCTGACATACTCAAACGGGACTCTACTCATTGCCTGTTAAGTGGAGGATCTGTAGGGAGACTGAATGTTGGGTTATAGAGAAGGGTTCAACGAGAAGCTAGCATGGCACTCTAATTATTTCTGAATCTTTCTGGGATGGGGGAGGGTGCATTTCTTCACAGCAGGAGTCAAGTCCATGTGAAACTAACAACTTAATATTGAATTTATTCTGATTGGGCAGAAAGTTCTATTTCTTTGAACACAGAAGTTGTGAAGGTTTGAACCTCACTAATCAGGAGAAGAGAGACCTTCAGAAAAGGCAAAGGTGGATGGGTCATCTGAACTTGTCCTATGTCCTCGAGAAGCAGAGCATACAGGACATATAGTTCCATATGTACAAAGCACATGGTACTTGTGGGTCCAGGGCCCTTGGTACCTGTGGGTCCAGGGCCCTTGGTACTTGTTACAGAAGGAAAGCCACAGTGGGCTCTCTCAAGGCTTATCACTTTAGAGGTAACTTTTCAAATGGATAAAAGTTTCAGTTTTGCAGTGGAATTTGGATGTGTAAAGAAGCTTTTGTCTACTTGACTACATTTCCCCAGGATGGAAAAACTCTAGGATATCCGCAGACAAGGCACTTATCGGCATTTGTACTCTTACCTGGGTTAGACTTATTCTTTCTTCTTTTGTCTTTCGTTTATTTTTTATTTTAAAAAACGATCTATTTATTATTCTTTGCCAGTTTAATCCATGTACACAATAAGTATTTGGTTTTCCTCTGGTGTGTTCCTTGTCCTGTTTGCCCTTGTTCTTCTACTGAACCTTTACACACATGTCTTCCTAGTTTCACGCCCTTTTGGTGTGTGAGCCACTTCGTTTAGACGGAGTAGCCCGCTTAGACTATTTACTAGAATAGGAACAACTTAGCAGTGGTTGCACCAGTGAAGAAAGCAACAAGTCATCTTCCCACAGCCATTAGCTGTCAGTAGTCCCTCAGGGGGTGGAGCCTCATGAGGTTCTCTCCCACACAAGAAGAAAGGGTGATGGGCTGGTCCTGTGCAGGTCAGCTGTGCAGACAACCCCAGCTGCAGTGAGTTTGTGGGGGCACTTGTTGGGTTATGTCCACAAGACAGTGCTTTCTAGCTGTATTCCTCACAGTCTGAATCTTAAATATACTCTTATTCTCTTCCACAGTGTTGGCTGAGCCTTGTTGTGTGTGTGTGTGTGTGTGTGTGTGTGTGTGTGTGTGTGTGGTACAGATGTCCTATTTAGACCCCAGCACTCCACACGGTTACTTATTCTCTCCACTCTGTTCAGTTGTGAGTCTCTGTATCCACTGCCACCCACTGAAACAAAAGCAGAATCTCTGATGCCGTCTGAGAGCTACACTAATCCACAGGTATACGGAGAAGTGTTCAGAGGTAGGTTGACACTACATCCATTTACCAAAGAATAGTGGTAAATCACCTGGAGACCTGTGATCTCCTCAGCCGTGCATTCTTAGCCAGGTTTTCAGTACCGGTTGTGAGTTCCCTCTTGTGGGGTGGGCCTCTGAATAGAGGTATCCTATATGGAAGGCAATGCTCCTGGAACCTATAGGTTATTAAACCAAAATCCAAATGACAGTTGTGGGATGACTATCTCCCTCTGAGCTGCCAGTCGGGGACGTCTCAGAAATGACAATACACGTTATTGATATTGCTCTTGGCTGTTCACCAGAACTTGCTAAGACCCTATTGCTAAAGACAGGGCATAGAGTAAGCAAGCCAGAAGTGCCCTAGACGCTACATTCCTGCTGGCTAGCTTTCACTACTCCTGACGCTGCTCTGCAGGCTGCAGGAAGAGAGACGTTACCAACAGTCTTACTCAGCTGTGAAGCCGGAAAGCTACAATACTCTCTTTTTCTTTCTTTAATGCGGGGCATCACCATGAAGGTTAGATTCCCTAGACCCCACTCTCATCCTGTCTCAGCCTCCCTGGTGTTAGGATTACAGCCATGTACCACCATGTCTGACCAAATTGAACATACAGGTGCCCCCCCCCCCCCCCCCCCACAAATCAGACCTTAAGTTGAGCTGCAAGTGGCTTCTTATTGGCACAGGGCTGCACCTCCCCTCCACAGTGCCTGCTTTCTGTACGCTCTCTGTTATGATTTTAGCCGCTTTAGGAGAAACACACTGAAGGTGAGGGACAAGTTCTTTCCATCCTTCAGGGTGGTCGAAGTCTACCTGCACCAGACACTGGAGAATTCAAGAGAGGCAGATATTCTAATTTGTACGTCATGCTGACCCAAATCATCCTCTTACCTAGTGTTTTCACTGGGGAGGTAGGGCTGGGACAAAGGTAAGACACATATTTTAGATGAAAATTGGATGGGGACGCTGATAACTCAGCAATTAAGAGAAATTACATTATAATGCTATATTTTTTAAATTTTACACATATATATATATGGTATGAGTGTTCTGTCTACACGTATGCCTCCATGCCCAAAGAGGGCATCAGATCCCATTACAGATGTTTGTGAGCTGAGAATTGAACTCAGGACCTCTGGAAGAGCAGTCAGTGCTCTTAACCACGGAGCCATCTCTCTGGTCCTTATTGCTTTATTTTTAAAATCAGAAATAATGCTAACATTTGTGATGAGCACAAGAATTAAACTGGAATGGGTTCATTAACAGTGCTGTGCTTTGGTATATACAATCAAGTCAGGAAAGGTGGGCCCGTCTCAATCATGGCAAATTCAGGTGACCCTGAGTCCAGTTTGCATTGAGTTCTAGAAAGTGGAACCTGGGGGTCCTACAGAGATGTTGACCCTACTTGCTGCCGTGATTGTGAAAAAGTCCTTTGCGTCTGAACCAGTAGTTACATGGACTCTGCCTTGTCCCTGGTACTGTGGCAGGTTACTGTGTCTACTTCTAACCCTCTCAAATATTAACACTTGGATGCAGCTCTCACAGCCTCTGTCCTACCAAGCAAGCTAACCACTCCATAATTTCAGTCACCAAAAAAAAAAAAAAAAAAAAAAAAATCTTCCAATTGTTTCCTTTTCTATAGAAAATAAAATTTATATTCTTTTCTACATTCTACAAAGTCCTACATGGTTTAGCTCCCAGCCAACCTCTTAGATCAAATAACTCTTGCATTTATGTATTAAACTGTAGCTGTCCATGCCTTTCTACCTAACACATTTCTGCATGACAGTGCTGGTGTTGGTGGTTTCTTCTGGCTGGCTTGTAGAATTTGGGGGCTTGGCTGCTTCTCATTCTACAGTATGTTGCGGGAGCTCCTTCAGCTTTTTCGGCCAATAGCCGCTGAGATACCAGCCCATTGGGGCGTGGTCTCTCTCTCTTTAAAAAAAATGTGGCCACTTTTCTCTGCACTCTCTCTCTGGCTTCGGGCTCCCCTTCCAGCGATTAGGTGCCCTTCCTGATTGTGCAGAGGGTTGTTGTCTGGGACCGTGATCTGTAAGTTTTTCCCCCTTAAATAAATAACCATTCTATTAATCATAGTTCCAAACTGGTGTGGGATTGTTTGTGACTTACGCCTTCAACAGTAGACATTGTGCAATGGGCACCAACAAAATTGGCTGACAGTTCTTTAAAAATAATTGATGATTTGCTATATTTACTTAAATTTCAAGATTATCAACCTGGGCATATTTGGATTTTATTGTATTTGAACTTTATCGGAATTCCAGGGTCACATCTGCAGTCCCCACCTTGTCTTTTCACAGTTAGCCTGTTCATATTTACTGTTGACTTCTGTAGTGCGGTGAAATTTCTGGTATCTCCAGCGATTCTATCTAGTTAGTACTCTACCATATTGCTATCATACAAGGGCCAAACTCAAGTTTTGGTGCATGAGAAACAAATGCTAACTTCTCTAGTAAGATCAAAATTTTGGTAACATTTTCTGCTTTATTTTAAGTCAGCTTTTTTGAGTATGAGAAGTTGAAACTCAACATGGTTATCATCCCACTGGTTCCTGATACTCTAAACCAGGTTCACTAATGACAATACAGTAACAACATTAAAAAGTCAGCTGCCCAACCAGGCGGTGGGCACTTTTAATCCCAGCACTTGGGAGGCAGAGGTGGGCAGAACTCTGTGAGTTCGAGGCCAGCCTGGTCTACAAGAGTTAGTTCCAGGACAGACTCCAAAGATACAAGGAAACCCTGTCTTAAAAAGCCAAAGGAAAAAAAAATCAGTTGTCGATGCTGATCTATGGGGTGAGTGTATATATAAGGACAACAGCTAGGGATAGGGGCTTTAAAAATATTTGTAATACTTCTCTGTTTTATTCTGAAATTCTGAATGTTCAAACTCTTTTTTTTCAAATATTTTTCTTTAATTTTGCTTTTTAAATTGTGATACTACTTCTCTTAAAGATTTTTAAAATTTTAAAATGAATAAATACATGCTTAAATATCTTAGCATTAAAAAAACCTGACAATTACTCTAACATTGAACTTAAGTTCCCTTTTGTACTGATTATTATTGTATGCAGTCCATAAGTTTCATGCATATAGTTGAGAATAATTTGAACTCGAGACGGTAGCCTTTGTCAGAATCTTGGTTTTTTTCTTCCTTTAAAAAATCATTTTATTTGGTAGAAATTACACATAAATATATATATATATATCTTAAAGCAAATGATATATGTATTTTAAAACTTGAATTAATTTTCACATAGCATATTAAGATTAATAATGGTATGTATATGTCCATAACATGTGTTGAAATATGAAAGCATTATAGAATGATAAATTAATAAGCACATGTTGCCGCTTACCTGCTTGTGTGGAGAACAAATAAAAAATACCTTTTTATACCCTCAAGATTGTAATCTATTTCTATTAATAATACATACCATGATGTGCCATAAAACACCTTTAAGGTGTTTGCTTGCTTGCTTACTTATTTGGTTTTTCCATGCCTGAGGTTTGGGATTTGCTGTGTCTTCCTTCTGAGATGTGGTTTCCTAGATTTGGGGCAATGTTGTAATTACTGGTAAACAGAAGATTCGGAAATGCTCTTTACTACTTCCTTTTGTAAAATCATGGTACAACAAGGAAACAGGCCTATGAAAAACTAATTTATGATGACTTAGAAAATAGAATAAAAACCAATGGTGGGAAGAGGGAGTAAATCATTTATTTATTTATTTATTTATTTATTTATTTTGTATACAATATTCTGTCTGTGTATATACCTGCAGGCCAGAAGAGGGTACCAGACCCCATTCCAGATGGCTGTGAGCCACCATGTGGTGGCTGGGAATTGAACTCAGGACCTTTGGAAGAGCAGGCAATGCTCTTAACCTCTGAGCCATCTCTCCAGCCCCAAGGAAGTAAATCTTATGACTCATGGAAGACACTAGAGTTAGAATTACTACAGCAAAATTAACTTATCAATGGCTCAACAACTTGTGAAATTATGATGGGAAGATGACATCAGCCCCACAAGAGATGGTAATTATATGGCAGTCCATAAATTTGAACTCTATGAATAATGACTTAATTAGGTTATGCATACGCGTGTAATAAAGGTTTTAGCAGTTCAACAGTACATAGACACTCATAATTATACATGGTATATTTGTATACATAACTAAAGGCTTAGAAAGTGCACAATAGACTGTATTTTAATCAATCGCAGGGAAGTTCTAAAGCATGAATAAAAGTTTTAGATCTCTGTTCTGATCTTGACTTAATGTTACAGTGATACTTTAGTTTATACATGCATCTATTATATACAGCCTCTTGTGTCTAATTTCAAGTATTCTCATTAGGGTTTTAGTGATTAAGTATCATTCTCTTGTCAATTGCCTTTTAAATTTAATTAAGACACTTTTATGTGTATGTATTATGTTTTATTCCTCACTAGATTATAAACTACTTGAATGGCCCTCCAGTTATATCTATCTTTCCCTCTGTGCCTGGCAGAGTGCTCTGAGCAAACTAAGCACTAATTAAATGTCTTAAAGCATAGAGAATTAATTTTCTCATATCATATTGAAGTTAATCATGGCATTTGTAATTATTTGATTCTTTCTTGAGATGAAATAAAAGGAATCTACCCTAACTCCTACCCAGCAAAGCATTGCTAAGTTAAAAGAACAAAGGAAAGCTCAGTCCGGTGCTCCAATGTGGGTCTCTGTCTCTTTCTCCATCCAATGCCAGATGAAGATTCTATGGTGATATTCAAGATATTCATCAGTGTGGCTATAGGATAGGGCCATATCAGGCTCCCTCTCCTCAGCTGCCCAAGGAACAAGCTGGGGACATCTCCTTGGACACCTGGTAACCTCTCTAGAGTCAAGTCTCTTGCCAACCTTAAAATGGCTCACTTAATTAAGATATATACTTCCCTGCTCCCATATCCATCCTTCCTCCATCCCAACCGTCCCATTCCCCCAAGCTCTCCCCATCCTCCCCTTCTGCCTACTCTCTCCCCATCTCCCCTTATCCCCACCCCACCCCCACCCCCAAGCTCCCAATTTTTGTCTGGCAATCTTGTCTACTTCCAATATCCGGGAGGATAACTATGTTTTTCTTTGGGTTCACTTTCTTATTTAGCTTCTCTAGGATCAAAAATTATAAGCTCAATGAGCTCCCAAGGTCCAAATGAGGAGCAGAAGGAGGGAGAACATGAGCAAGGAAGTCAGGATCGCGAGGGGTGTGCCTACCCACTGAGACAGTGGGACTGATCTAATGGGAGCTCACCAAGGCCAGCTGGACTGGGACTGATGATCAAACTGGACTCTGAATGTGGCTGACAATGAGTGCTGACTGAGAAGCCAAGGACAATGGCACTGGGTTTTGATTCTGCTGCGTGTACTGGCTTTGTGGGAACCTAGTGTGTTTGGATGCTCACCTTCCCAGACCTGGATGGAGGCGGGAGGACCTTGGACTTCCCACAGGGCAGGGAACCCTGACAGCTCTTTGGACTGGAGAGGAAGGAGGAGGGGAAGTGGGGGGAGGGGGAGGGAAAAGGGAGGAGGGGACGAGGTGGAAATTTTTTTATTTGTTTTTCTTTTTATTTTTTTTATTAATTATTTATTAAAGATTTCTGCCTCCTCCCCGCCACCGCCTCCCATTTCCCTCCCCCTCCCCTGGTCAAGTCCCTCTCCCTCATCAGTCCAAAGAGCAATCAGGGTTTCCTGCCCTGTGGGTAGTCCAAGGACCACCCACCTCCATCCAGGTCTAGTAAGGTGAGCATCCAAACTGCCTGGGCTCCCACAAAGCCAGTACGTGCAGTAGGATCAAAAACCCATTGCCATTGTTCTTGAGTTCTCGGTAGCCAGACCTGGAAACAACCTAGATGCCCTTCAATGGAAGAATGGATGAAGAAAGTATGGAATATATACATATTAGAGTACTACTCAGCAGTAAAAAACAATGACTTCTTGAATTTTGCATACAAATGGACGGAAATAGAAAACACTATCCTGAGTGAGGTAAGCCAGACCCAAAAAGAGGAACATGGGATGTTCTCACTCATATTTGGTTTCTAGCCATAAATAAAGGACATTGAGCCTATAATTAGTGATCCTAGAGAAGCAAAATAAGAAGGTGAACCCAAAGAAAAACATATAGGCATCCTCCTGAATATTAATCTTCATCAGGCGATGAAAGGAGACTGAGACAGAGACACACATTGGAGCACCGGACAGAAATCTCAAGGTCCAAATCAGGAGCAGAAGGAGAGAGAGCACGAGCAAGGAACTCAGGACCGCAAGGAGTGCACCCACACACTGAGACAATGGGAATGTTCTATTGGGAACTCACCAAGGCCAGCTGGCCCGGGTCTGAAAAAGCATGGGATAAAACCGGACTCGCTGAACATAGCAGACAAGGAGGTGGAAATTTTTAAGAATAATAAAAAAAAAGAACAAAGAAAAGAAGAAAGTCAAATTAAGGAAAAGATAGAAGCAGTCAAAGACTTACTCTGTAGTCGCTCGATGTCACATAAAATATTGGGAGGAAGGCCAACCAGATGATGCAGGTGGTGTACATGGTGAAGCCTATGAACTTGGCTTCATTGAAGTTTTCAGGACATTTCCTTGTTTTGAAAGCATAGACAGTGCATAGGATCACCAGGACCACATCGTAGGTCAGAGAGATCAACATGCTGGAATCTTTGACATTGCATTTTAGGATGACTGTCTCCCGCTTCTCTGGAAGGGTGTATCTTCTGGTGCCTGGAGTCTCCAAGATAAGCCACACAGACACCATCACAATCTGCACCAGGATCAAACCCAGGCAGATAAAAACCTGAGAACTGGGACTGATGAATTTTGGCCTCTGGGCGCCGTTCTTGACACCATCGAAGATGCGAGCAATGCAGTTTGTTTTGGTCAGCAGAGCCGAATAACAGATGGCGAAGGAGGTCCCAAGCCCAAGCCGGCGCAATGCGCAGATAACAGGTGATGGTTTAGCAATGAAGAAGAATGTCATACCATAGGACAGGCTCACTCCAAACAACAGGATGTAGCAGAGTTCTCGGCCTGATGCTTTGACCAAGGGTGTATTGTTGTGCTTGATAAACACAGTTATAACTATGCAAGTGCACATGAAACCCAGGCAGGCAATGGTGACTGGGCCTATTGCCCAGGCGTCCTCCCACTTGATGTAATCCTCTGGAAGATTGTAGCATCCAGAGAGGTCAGCCGTTGGCCACTGGCCAGGCCCACAATCCATACAGGTGAACTCATCGATTAGGTATTCGTAGGGCTCGCAAGGGATGCAGATCCAGCAGCAGACGTCCCCTGGCTGCATATTCTTCATTTCGTTGGGGGCACAGGGGTCGCTGCACTGGGAAGTGGGGATTGAGTTTCGGGACCAGTGGATAGAGTCTACGTCTAGAAATAAAGTTTCTGCCCAGTGGCCAACCTTCAAGTAGGAATACTTTCCATTCACGTTCTGGAAGTTGAACACATTGTATCTTCCCATCCCGTCTCCGAAAGTGTCAAACTTCACAATGCTGTCTGCTCCTTTATTTGGGTTGAATGGAGCTTTGATACATAGAATGAAGACAAGAAAAGAACACTTGTTTAGGTGTCTCCTATGTCATTAGTCAATTCCTTTTGCCATACACTCAGCAGAACTGAAGGAGCAGGGACTAGCGTTACCCAGGCTGACACACTTTGTTACTTACCATCGAAAGCCACACATCAAAAGCTTAAAGCTTCCAGAGTGCTTATGCATTCATAAGGTTACTCACTTAGGATTGCCGCGTGTCTAACGGGTGCCAAGTGCCAGTGATAATAATGAACATCACACAGCGCCACTTCACAGGAGCATGCGACGTTGTACTCTGTGATGGGAAGTGCTATTTGCTTGAAATCTTTGTAACGGGAATCTGGCAGAACTTCATGTCTCGTTTCATACTTGTTTATACAACCACTAAATTTTTTACCATCTTATTTATATTCATGACAACATAAAATTAATAGCAAAAATTCTCTCCTTGAAATGAGATCGCAATATAAATATATAACACATGCATTTAAACATTTCTGATGATTAGTATAGGAAAAAATTGAAATGTATTTGTAGTCATTCTGAAGTTCTTGGCATATAGTCTTGCTGTGTAGCCCAGGCTAGCTTTAAATTCACAGCAGTTCTCTTACCTCAGCATCTTGAATGCTGGGGTTACAAAGATGTGCTGTCCACTTTGTTAGCTATCTTGTGCACACAACAGTATGCAGGACATTTGCAAGTGAGCTTTACTGCCAGTGTAGAGGGTGGGACGATCTCAAACAATGAGATGTTCTCGATCCTGTCCCTTTGCTACACCTTTGGGAAGACCTGGAGAGCAGCTGGTCTGAACACCCAAGCTTCTTTTTTCTCAACTGTCACTGACCATGTGTCTAAACTCCTAAAATAAGTTTCGATACAATTTATTATTATTACATCCTGTTTTGCATTTATTAAATGTCTCAGAAATATTATACTGAAGAGCTCCATGGAGACTATGAACTGAGAGGGGAAGCTTTTTCTCCTTAAGAGTTTTTAGTTTTAATTAAAATATAGTTACATTATTTCCTCTTTCCCTTTCCTCTCTCTAACCCCTCCCATGTCTTCTCCCTCCAGCCTTTCCCATGTTCCTCTTTTACTTACTATAAAATCATGGCCCCACTTCTCTGGCTATTATTATATACTCTCTCTGTCTCTGTCTCTCTGTCTCTCTCTCTCTCACACACACAAACACACACACATACACACACACACGCACACACATACACAAATACACAAATATATATATATATATATATATATATATATATATATATATATATATATATATACAACCTGCATTGCTTGTATGTAAAGAATTCAGGGCTGACCACTTGGCATTGAATACCTGATTCGGGGACTCATCCCTGAAAAGAGTAATTCTATCATTCTCAGCAGTCAGTCACTAGTTCCCTGTAGCTCTTTGTCTGCGGGTAAGGCCCAGTAAAATCTCCTCGTTTCACATGAGCTTGTCTCATTGCTGCTGTTATTGTTAGGTCTTGTTTTGGTAACCACATTGGTGCGGTATCATGGATATAGTTTCCATGTCATCTGTAGGAAACATGCATGACCTCTGATATTCTGGCTCTTATAGGCTTTCTGCTCACTCTTCTGTAATAGTCCCTGAGCCATAGGTGTGCAGACACTATGCTGAAGAGGGAGTTTTTACTCAGCTTACAGCTTCTCATCTAGCCTGCTTACCTCTCCTACATATGTGTGCTGTCTTGTAGTAATTACTTTGCAATTGTCTTCAAGATGCAGCTGAAGATTGAATTTTCATTCAGGACCAGGCTCAGTAAGTGACTATGTGCTCTTTATTTTTATTCCACACTGGCTGGTCTGTTGTGTATTTTCCATTTCATACTATTAGTCACTACTTTTTCCTTAGAAGAAGATTGTGTCTGTCTGGGTGATTCATAGATATACACTATTATGGTCGAATTACTATTCATACTTATGGAGAGAAACCAAGAGAGTAGAATAAGATACCCATAAATAGGCCTACTACATCCTAATAAATGCTAATGGTGGTATCTGAGACAAGTGAAGGTCTTACATACACATTGTTAAGTAAATGTTTAATCAGCTGGGAAAAATGAAATTTTCTGTACCTCATTACTTATGCCTTGATAAATTTTGAAAAGATCAAAGTTTTATGTGGAAAAAACAAAGGCATAGAAGTTCTAGAAATAAAAAGAGCATATTAATATCAGAGTGCAAAAAGTCCTTTTCAAAGGCTATTGAAAATGAAGAACAAACAAACACACAGAAACCAAAACCACAATAATGCAAAAAACTGGCATCCTGGTGGAATTCATAATCTCAGCATTGGGGAGCAGGAGACAGGATGATTCCTGGGGTTCACTGATTAACCAGCCCAGATTAATGGGTGATTGCCAGGTCCCAGGGAGAATATCTGCCTTAAATATCGAGATGGATTGTTCTTCATGAACACTGGTTGATCTTCGCTTCCACACACATGCATGTGAACCCTCATATACACATGTACCCCACACATGTGCACACATGCAAACTTCCCAAACCAATAAATATGAACATTGAAGCATAAGTGAGAAACGATAATGCAAGCTTCAAATGGTATTGAGATAATGTACAAATTTCCAATATAAAAAGGAACTTAATAACCCTTAGAAAATGGCCAAAGGATTTGAGTAGCTATTTTATCATACGAAAAATCTAATGTTCTTAAACATAAAAATAGATTCAACATTAGTCAAACTGCAGAAAAATGCAAACTTCCAAAGGTCAAATAGTAGTTCTTCGAAGACAACATAGATGAATTCAAGTTGGGATTCAGATTGCTTTTAACTGACATAAAGACATCTTGCTTTATATGGGTGAGCCCAGTAATACCTGACCCAGCTCAGAATTCTGCAGAAGGATCAGGGGTGCTCACTTCTGGGTTTTGGGTGACAGATACAGAAGATTGAGCTCACTGCTACTGGCTCTAAAGGAGGCGACTGGGTGATAGATACAGAAGATGGAGCTCACCACTACTGGCTCTAAAAGAGCTGCCAACCTGGGTGGACAATAAAAACTGGAAAGGAAATAAAACAGGTCCTGTGGGGCCTTCAAGAGGTAATACAGCCTGGCCAACACATTGCTTTTACGTCAGTGAAATCCATTTAGACATCTAGCCTCCAGAAACATTAGAAATAAAATTAGGTAGCTTTAAATTGATACAGTATGGGGTCTTGATCAGGTCTTGATTCATTCTCTACCAGTTAAAGAATTAAAACACAGGAAAAATCTTGAGCACAATAGGCAACAGCGGAGAAACCTCAGACAGTGTGGAGGACAGCAAACAGAACCAACAGTATACCTCCAAAGGAGGGCAACTGGTCCGAATGTTCTCAAAAGTACAGTTGCACCCGCGTTTTGGCTTAGCAGTTTCCATTGGAGGGGTTTACTGACGGATCTTTACAACAGAAAGACTTGAAAACGACCAGTCATTCATAGTTGGGTTCATTAATAACAAATGAAATGTTACACAGCTGTGAGAAGAATGAGGACATATTAGAAAAAGAAACCCAAAGTTACAAGGCTTTGTATGAAGAACAAAATGTTTGATCAGCTATATTTTAATGGGGGTGGGGAACATAACGGGCCCTGCTCCTTTTCCTTTTCTATGAAGAGGAGCTCAAGAATGATAACTACAGAGAATGGCCACACTGGCTAGGAGCTGGAAAGTAAACAGACTGGTGGCAAAGGGGGCTACTATAGTTTTATTTTAGTTTAAATTTTGAATAATGTAGATGCATTATTACTACTCATATATGCTATGCAATCACAAATACGTCATCTATGAGACAGATGAGAAAGTCTTCCAAAGGGATGTTCAGAGAACAAGAATCAAACTCTGCTAGTGAGAGACCCTGCCTCAAAACCACACGGTGGATAGCTCCTAAGGGATGACAGCTGAGGTTATTCTCTGGACTTTACACATGTGCACCCCCATAAACGTGTGCCTGAATACATACAAACACACAAAGAATCTGCTTTGTGAAATGATATAGCAAAAGCAGAATTTCAGGTAAGTATGAATATAAAAAAAATCTCTCAGGGTTTGTTCAAAATGTCAGGAGGAAGAAGGGGATAGCATAAAAAGTGGATCACTTTGCTTTCCAGCGAAGAGGAGAACTGGAGAAGTGCACATGTGTAGGTGGTGGACCGCGCGTGGGGAAAGCAAGGGTAGAGATTTTTGTTCTTCTCTTAAGTGCGCTATATTCACATACATATGTACGTATTTAATTTTGATAAGAAGTTATACAATTAAAATGGAATAGTGTGTATGTAAATGCATGTTTGTGTGTACTCAGTTGTGCATGTATGGAGGTCAGAAGTAGAGAGCAGTGATTTTCCTTAATTCCTCTCCATCATATATCTTGAGATAGGATCTCTCGCTGACCCTGGAGCTAGGTCGTCCTGGGAACGCTTCTGGTTCTGCCTCCCCAACACTGGGATTATAGCTTTGGGATTACAGGTGTGTTGAATTCTGGGGGGTTGAATTCAGGTTATTTTGCTTTCACTGTTAATACTTTACTGATCAAACCATCTCCCTAGTAAAAATTGTTCCTTAATGAAAATTCACCTTTTACTAAATTTGTTAAACTATAAAACATATAACAAAATGCAGTATACTGTTTGAATCCTGAAACTCAAAAAATCACCTTACAGTTTCTCAAATAAATACTTTAAAAATCCTACCGCAATTCATTGTCAGAATTGTGCTGGCTCTTTAGTTTGAAATACAGAGTGCTGCGTTTGTAGCAGCCTGAAGAGGAACAAAGGAGATTCAAGAAGAGAAAGGTGAACCACATCTGAGATATACTCCACACGTGAGGGTAGTCCTGTCTGGGAACAATGGTTTCCAAGACAACAATGGCCTTGATAGTGAGACAAAGCAAACTTTCCTGTCCTGATGCGACTTGGAGTGGCAGGACAGCTGAAGCCCCTGTGAATTCTTTCTGTCACC